AAAACCTAGGAGTACTGGACAGCTGTTTCGTCCTAGGTTGGGACTCTTCATCAGTACGCACATACCTGGATTCGAACCCAGGAGCTTATATTCAATACCAATCAGGAACTTTTAATTAGTTGCTTCGTCCCCCAAAACTTCAGCATAAAACGACACAGTATTTTGCTATAACTTTCACAAACTACTATAAGTAGTCTGGCGGTGATAGAGCATTTTCGTGCACGATGTAGTAGTTTGCAGATGAACGTGTGAAAAAAATGTTATTAGTCAGATTTTTGTTATTGTTAGGTCAAGGCTATTTGCAAATAATGCTATCATTTATGGTACGATAAAACGTATTGTATTTTTAACGTGACTTTGCTAATGTTACTAAGAATAAGGTGATCTGTATCAACATTAAATGAAGTCAACTTATATTATAAACCCGTGGGCGTTTCAGATTAAATAGCTATAGCATTACTTTTGATTGGACATTCACTAGTTAGTAACTGGTGTAATGCGTCTAGTTTTTTATCAGTCCAGTTTGCAATGTGGCCGCCATTCTAGGTGGCTCGCCATTACAGTGCACTATGAATTGTTGAAATTAGATGGTTGGAGCCAATCAGCCACAGGAAGCCTCAGACTTGGGTTTCGTGCTAGTTGGCACTCGTCAACAAGGTGTATCTGCAACCCTGAAGGAACTCATGTCCCTTCTGAGATTTAAAACCAAATCACCCAATGCTGCAGTCAAAAACGTTACCACTGTGCTATTCGGACTCACAATTGACCTCATGTAGGACTGTATTGGATACAGTCGTGGAGTTCAGGTTTCTCTTGGTAACAAGGATAGACTAGAGACCGAATACAAGATAGAACAACAGAGTGAATTTATTATATGAGTGAAAATCAAGATTGAGTTGAATGTTTTGCTTCAAATCAAAACACAAAAGCACACGAATGAAACAGTTACGGTTACCAGGGTAGTGAGAGATTAGTCACACTCTGTTTCTGTATGCATAGGTTGGGTCGAAATCTTCTGATGGCAGTGGCATCTGCGAAGCTAAGTAACCAGGCTTTTCTTTTCTTTGTTTATTGATTACTTTGGAAGCCTGACTAGTTTACACTGTATGTCCCGTGTCAATTAGGTGTCTGGCGATTGCGCTTTAGAAGACAGAGAATATAGGAGTAAGACAAGGCTACCTGCCTGTGGTCACCGATTACATTCTTAATTGTAGTGGACTGGATTATGCGTCAGACTGTGCATGGGAGTGAGGAGACAGGAACACGTTGACCCGATAAGAAGACTGTAGAAGGTCTGAATTTCACGCGTGGACGATTCATGTGTAGTGTTGTAACAACAGAAGACAAGGGCCAGGCAACAGATCGTTTATTACGAAAAATCAACACGTATTTATAGATTTTTATGTACATTATTGAAGGTCAATGTTAGTAGAAAATACAGTCTGTTGATTGGTTGTTTCTCACACAAAGTTAACCTTGCATCTCTTGTGGCTGTGTCAGTTCATCTATATGTTAACTGTAACCGCCTGTCCACCTTGACCTTTGACCTCGATTACTGTCAACCAATTTGGCCAGCAACCGTCTCTCACCACAACATGACTAATATTTGATACATAAACATTGACCTCAATTACTGTCCACCACTTGGCTAGTAGACCGCTCTCACCACACTCGTCCCCCCGTCAAATAGTTTGGACTGAAGTCGGCTCGGTCTTCTCTGTTCTTGGGGCTTTGCTCTGTTGTCTTGCTGTCTGGAATCTCGGCGCTTGCGGATGTCCACTTGTTTAACGGTGTTTACCATTGCGATTGTGTCTGCGTAACCCCATCTCAACGTCACCATATATGGTCCTTCCCACTTTGGAAACTGTTTGCCTGACCCTGTCGCACATTCGTAGGTATTTCGCCTCACACTTCCATATGCTGCTTTCTCCCGACCTCCCAGCAGCGTCCCAAGTAGCAGCCTTATCGCTGACAGATCTTGAACGCCACTCAACTGCGAATAAGCCTCAAAGTCCTGCCCGAAGATCCATATGTCTTCATCAAAAACTGCAGGGCATAGGCTTTCCATTTGTCGGTAGGCAGCGACACCAAATGTAACAACAGAAGACAAGGGCCAGGCAACAGATCGTTTATTACGAAAAATCAACACGTATTTATAGATTTTTATGTACATTATTGAAGGTCAATGTTAGTAGAAAATACAGTCTGTTGATTGGTTGTTTCTCACACAAAGTTAACCTTGCATCTCTTGTGGCTGTGTCAGTTCATCTATATGTTAACTGTAACCGCCTGTCCACCTTGACCTTTGACCTCGATTACTGTCAACCAATTTGGCCAGCAACCGTCTCTCACCACAACATGACTAATATTTGATACATAAACATTGACCTCAATTACTGTCCACCACTTGGCTAGTAGACCGCTCTCACCACAGTGTCACATAAACTGGAAGACTTGCAGGCGGAAACCAACAAACTGGCTGAAGAGGCAGTGAAAAAAGGACTGCAGGTGAACACAGAGATGATGAAGATAACCAACGAACAGCAATAACAACAACAACCAGCACCAATCACCATCAGCGGGAGATTTGACAGGGGTTACTTCATTCACTTATCTAGGAAGCACGGTTTCAACCGCAGGCGAGACGAATGAAGATGTTAAAACCAGCCAGAATCGGATAGACGAGATATACCTTCATCATCCTGAAACCAGTTTGGAAATCTTTTACACTCAGTCTCAGCAAAAAGGACAAGATTCGGATTTTCAACACAAATGTGAAGTCAGTCATTTATTCTATACAGATCAGAAACTGCGTTTCGCGAAAAGGAATTTCAACAGGTAACAAACTTTTATCAACAGATGTCTTTGCTGGCTCCATACTGAAGATCAAACGACCGGCCAACCGGGCAGGAACAATTAGCAAACCAACCAAGAGCCTATTGTTCAACCCATATGTAGGAGAAAATGGAGATGGATCGGGTATACGTTGAAGCCGTCAAATGACATCGCGTGCCAGGCCTTCGAGTGGTATCCGAAGGGAAAACGATGAGTGGGTTGTCCTAAGGTGACACATAGATGGTGTGAGATGAGAGATTATGGATAATCGTAGACCCAGATGAAGAGGACAGCACCCTACAGAACAAAGTGGAGATGTGTTGTTGAAGCCCTATGTTCCGCTCGGAACCGAAGGGAATATGATCTTCCGTCCCTTATTTCTTTAAATGAAACAGCAGCAAATTGTATTCGATTCTTTTCAATCTTTTTAGGCTAGCTCTACAACTGATTACAGGCTTTCATTCCCTCTTCACATGGTTTTTTGGATTTCACCCTCATTAGCGTTCCACTCGGTCTTATCAGTGAATGTCCAATCCATCTCCATTTTCTTCCGAATATTTATTGGGTGATAGGTTCTCTAAAGAGTCCGTTGCCAGAGTAACATGTCGCTTATCCTAACTTAAAATTAGTTTTGAAAATTCGACTTATACTACGTGCTTTAGATTTCCACACTAACTTCAAAGGAACGAATGCCTTTCTTAGTTTCCCGATCCTGAATCAATGTCTTTGACATCCTCATCCATGACAACGCCATCTATAGCTGAAACAATGCTGTGAAACAGACGACTTCCTTTAGACTTCTAGCGTTAATGGTGATTAGTGCTTCTTTTTGTTGGGTAGTTTATCTTCATCCTCTGTCTTCTATATATTCACACTCGAAGTTCTACCTTCAAATACTTCTACTGCCAATTTCCCGGCTTTCAACCCTGAGTCTTTGTCTTTGGTCTGGTACACATTTCAAAGGAATAATACGGTTGATCTCACATGGTTAGAGGCAACTGACAGAAAACATAGAGCCTAAGTTTTGGGCTTGTTAGCACTCATCAGCAAGTCGTAACTGCAAGCTCGAAAGAACTGATATCACTGGCATCTAGCCATCACTGGTGATCCCACGTTGCAAACTCGACCGTCAGAATACCCTCAGAACCAAACACCGAGGACCAAAACATACACGACACTGGGTTATACCCGCAGTAACCAATCAGGGTAGCAATAATAATCGTAATAATAGTAATAATGATGAGGTTATTTAGAATGATAGATACATTCAACCAATTTTGTGTTGAAACTACTCCAGTTCACCAACCATTGACAAAATATGCCATAGACAATGGAAATTCGGTCGATCGGTTTTCGACATAGAACTTTGCACATATGTGCGGCAGTTCAAGTCGCCACACCATGTAGCACACAAAGGAAGAGAAGAAAGTAGGAGAAATGCATATTAGAGACAGTAAACAGAGGTGTGAGACAAAGGAATAGTAATAAAGAAGAACAAAACAGTTTCATTGGAAATCATAAGTAACAAGGACTGGATGCATCTGCACCAGCCACTGAGAACGATTTTGAGCCATGTCACCAATTGTTTCCAACCATTGGTTTTTACCGTCTCGAGGACCCCAACCAGGAAGTCTACACCTTCCTACGTGGCTTAGACTAACTGTTGTAAATTTCATTGACTGGTGCCATGTTTTCGTTTGACTGCCTCTAGCTCTTTTCCAGTCTGACCCTATATCAGCTAACATTGCCCGTCGAGGAAGGCGATGACTAGGCATACGTAGCACATGTCCTAACCATCTTAGTCGATGTAATTTCACAGTCTCGTCTATTGATTTACCCACCTTACCTAGCACTCGACGCCTAACCTCAATATTGCTCACCTTATCATACCACTTCACGCGGGAGATAGAACGCAGGCACCTATGATCAAAAACAGCTAGCTGGTCTTTTCATGTCTTCCGCTCTCAATGGCCAGGTCTCACAGCCATAAAGGAGGACGGAGCGGACTGTTGAGCAGTACACACGCCCTTTGGTCGATAGTCGGATATCACGTCTACGCCAGAGACGGCGTAAACTGACAATGGAAATTACTCAAGAAACGTGACAGACCACCACATCACCATCACACATCAACTAAAAGTAAGTGAATCAGAAAACATCCCGAATGAAAAAATATGTGTATATATATTATGTATCATAGAGAAAATATATCATGAAAATAAAATCAATATTTAGGATTATTGTATACAAAAAAAAGAAAACACATGGTCACCCATCACATCTACTACAAGTAAACCAACCACTCTACATGGTCACGATGTCAGAAGAAGAAAGACTAAACTGTGACTAAATAATAATTACTGGTGTAGACAAGTTAATACACATACACACACACACACACACACACACAAGAAATTACTGCTCTACAATGAAATAAGTAGGTAAATTATACGTATGACTATCTCATGCTGACTTGTGCCTCACCTTTTTCTGTGTTATAAAGAAAATAGAAGTTAATGAAAGGAAGAAAGAAAGAAAAATAGATGAGAAACAGTACGTAAATCTGTGCACACACACAAACATACATACACATACACACGCACTAGACCTTTTGATTCTAAATGTGAGCTCCCATAGAATAATGTATTAGATATATATTAAGTTGAAAGCATATTTAGCAGTGATAATAATAATGATAATAATAATAGTAATAATTTTGATCAAGATAAATCTTCTCTTAAAAAGAAAAACAAAAAAAATTAAAATAAATAATAATAGATTCTGCTAAAACGATACAGGCGATAGAACATTCTCTGCTTGGTGTTCTATTCGCCTTTCCAATGCTTTCTCATCCATATAGAAGTAATTGTCATCCCCACCTTTATTCATCATAATATTATCGCCTTTCAGTGTTGTTAATAAGAAATTTCTTAAGCCTTCAAATCGTTTCCTGCGACTGCTATTACTCCTGCCACCAATACTGTCAATACTATTTTTATTATTATTGTTATTATCATGAAAGTTAGATTTATACGTATTTCTTTCGACCATTTTATCGCCATTATTCATCATATTGAAGTGCTTTGAATGATGTATACTCGGAGAATTAGGCACTGAATAATATGCTGATGAATTCATCATCATATTATTATTATCATCATAATAATTATAATTATCATCTCCATTAGAGCTTAAATTCACTTGAGAGGTATTCAATGAATTTGTATGCGATTTGTTCATATTATTATTTTTGAGAGATGATGATGGTGGGATTAAACCATCATAGACATGAGTGAATTCAAATTTGTGTGGTTTTTTACCATTAAGATGTACAGGATAGCCATTTAAGTTTTCTCCTAAAAATATACAAAAGAAAATGAAAAACACTATCATAATAATAGTATGTCATGAACACTGAATAATCTAATATTTGTCATCTATAAACTATATTACCACCATCAGCATTATCGTCATTATCATTTTGAATACAATACAAGAGTTATAATGTTACTGGTATATCACTCCCCATGCAAATAAGACTAGCAGTTTTATTATTATTGCTATTATTATTAATATTATTTCCTTTAGTTCCTAGAGAAACATAGGGGTCCTGCCACGCACATCTCCATTGCGTTCAGTTCTCCGCCAACGTTTTCACCTGGCTCCACGTCTGCCCACATGCTTTCATCTCCTCTTCACATGACCTCCTCCATGTCACCCCACCCACGCACTGACGACCAACTTGCCGCTTTCCATTCGAGTTACACTCGAGCAATGGCCGGTCTTGTGATGTCACTTGATGGTTAGATTTCTCAGAGTATGGTCAATCTACCTCCATTTCTCCCTGCAGATTTAGTGCACAATCGATTCCTGCTGGGTTGGTTCACTCATTGCCAGGTATCCCTGTTGTTGATCTTTTCTGGCCGGCCATCTGATCCTGAGTGGTATTGAGCGAAGACAGCTGTTGATGAAGGTCTGCAGTTTATTCGAAGTGTCCTCCGTGACGCGCTGGCCAAGTCTCTGGCCCGTATAGTAGCACTGACTTTACATTGCAGTTGAGCAGCGGAAGTACCTATTATTAAATCTTATGAATGAAACTCTAAAAATAAGAATAACAATCAATCTCTTTAGGTGGTATAATAAAGTAAGTAATGTTGACGTTAGGCGTAGAGTGTTGGGCAAAGAGGGGAAATCAATCAACGAGGCTATAAAGTTACATAGATTGAGACGGCTAGGTCACGTGTTGCGCATGCCTAACCATCGCCTCCCCCACCCCGACGGGCATTACTAGCTGATATAGGTGCAGGTTGGAAAAGAGTAAGTGGTGGCCAAACAAAAACATGGCCTCATCAATCCATGAAATCCCTGACAGTTAAACTGAGTCAGGTAGGGAGATGCAAACTTCCGGGTTGGGGCCCGCCCTCGGGACTCTAAGAATCAATGGCTGGAGACAATAGGTGACATGGCTCAAAATCGTTGTCAATGGCTTACGCAAATGTATTCAGTCTCTTTAACCTTCATATTCCTTTCTACCATTACTCATTCTGTTTCACTCTTATACTTGTCAAAACTCTATTGATTCTCTTCACTCATCCATCTTCTTGTCTACCTTTGTGTGTTATTTGGAACGTGGCAACTCGAACTGCTGCACTTCGGTGCCAAGTTCTATGTTGAATCCAGACAGACATGATGTGCACACATTAAGTTGGAATCGTCAAGCATATCCACCATGATAAAATTAGATTACTTAGCGTAGCAAATGACTGACACGTTCCGAGTGGTACTCTTCAAGCACAGTTTGCTTTTATATCAAGGCATTTAAATAATTCAAAGCTACAGCAGTAACATAATATTGCATTACTGTGACTCATATCAAGGCATAATCTATCACAGTGCTCAAATTCTGTTCTTACACCAAGAATTTCCACCTCTCTGTTGTTTATTCAACTTTATCATAGGCAAGCTTATGAAGGTGTTTATTTTAACATCTCATTGACCTGTAGTTGGCTTGATATTTAGAGTATGCCAGTAACATAATCCTGTAAGACAAAGACACTAACTGGAATAGGTATAGTCGTGTGTGGTAAACGGAACAATGTCCAATAATGTTATTTTTATCGAATTTAAAGTCATAGTGTGGTGAGAGCTGTCTACTAGCCAAATTGGTAGACAGTAATTTACGTCAATGCTTACGTTCTCAACATTAGTCGTGAGAAAATATGAACAAGACTGATTCAAAAACCGACCACAGCAGACTTTGCGTAGGCGGATGCAGTTAACATATAGATGATCTGACATTCAAGAAACAATCACAAAGAGATGAAAGATTAACTTTAAATGAGAAACAACCAATCAGAAGACTGTGTTTGTTTGCTTAACTAATCTATAATAATCTACATGAAAATATATAAATATGCTTTGATTTCCTTAATAAATGATCTATTGCCTGGCCCTTGTCTTCTGTTGTTACAATAGCACAGACACGAACTAAGAAGTTATATAAAAACTACTTAATCTTCAGTAAGACTATACACATCTTATATATATATATATATATATATATATATATATATATATAAAGGGAAATAAGACAGTCACACAAAGAAACTCACTTGAATTTGTCTGTGTATCACTAGATGACATGTTATTAGAACCACTCGGCAAGTTCTTCAAACGTAACTCCAACTGTCTTTTACTTATATTGAGTCGATGTGCTTCTGAGGCTGCCTCCAAAAGATGATTATCTGATAGATATCCACTTTTAATAGAATTATAGGCATGCGACAGACTCCATGGCTCTGCATCACTCAATCCACTGGAACAGCTTGTATCTGTTAGGGCATTCCGATCACTGAAATTAGCATATAGTGAATTCAAAGTTTCTCTGGATGATTTTCTCTGTTCATGTTTAAAGCTATTTTGGTTAGCATGTGCACGGATGATCTGATTCACTGGCATAACCATAGAGGCTAGATGTGGTGAACGTAGTTGCATGCATTCTGGTAGACAATGAAGTTCAGTCTGTGTAGAAGCTTTCGGTGATATTGATTGAAGTGATTTAACAGGGCAGATATCATCAGACGGTTTAGAAGCAGCAAGCTATAAATAACAACAATGAACCATGTATTTAGTAATATGCATACGGACATAGATACTTAACATTCAAATTATTAAAGAAAAAAATTTTTAATGATATTTATTATGTTTTACGAGTTGATCACGGATTGATATGAGTTAGAGAACCATTGAAAACCTTCAGGGAGTACTGGACAGCTGCTGTTTCATCCTAGTTTGGAAATCATCGGCAGTACGCACCCACCACCAGGGTTCGAACCCAGGACCTTCCGGTTAAAAGGCAAGCTCGTATACCATTCAGCCACTGGGACCCGATTCAATGGCTCATGAATTCTAACTTCTACCAATTCGTGATTTTAGCGCGACCCCAACTATTGTCGTTGGAGGGACATCCATCCACACGTGACTTCTAATTGGACCTCACTGGTCACGACTTCTCACTAGAACTCCAGGAAGCTCCAAGCTGTAGCAAGTCACTAGCGAGCATCAGAATAATTTTCTATAGTTTGGTTTGTAAGGATTAGTTATGTTTTACGAGTTGATCACGGACTGATATCAGTTAGAATTCATGAGCCATTGAATCGGGTCCCAGTGGCTGAATGGTATACGAGCTTGCCTTGTAACCGGAAGGTCCTGGGTTCGAATCCCAGTGGGTGCGTACTGCCGATGATTCCCAAACTAGGATGAAACAGCAGCTGTCCAGTACTCCCTGAAGGTTTTCAATGGTTCTCTAACTGATATCAGTCCGTGATCAACTCGTAAAACATAACTAATCCTTACAAACCAAACTATAGATATTTATTATTCTGATTATTATTTAAAACTGCGACGTTTATGGAAGTTAACAAACAATTATGCACCAAGATTTTGATCAAAGAAAGCACTGCAATTATTTAAGATATACGAATCGATATCACAGAACACTATATATTCTGTGTTAAATATTGCAGATCACATACACACACACACACAATAACGAAAGAAATGAAATCTTTTGAGCAGTTGAGAGAAATTCATCACAATTCCCCCATTTAATATGAATGCGTACACAAAACAGAGTTCTAAAACTTGCTGTGAACCATCTAATGTCACATTTGATGTATTAAAAGAAAAACTGTTATCGAATATCCGATATAAACTTCGCAGCAAAACAGATTGAGGGAAGCTTCTGTGTCACAGATTCTCACCTTGTTATAAAAACTAAGCTCTAGTTTCAAATTGAATCATACACCCATTAGTTGTAGGGTTTCATCATGAGCTGACATCAGTTACAGAACTATTGGAAAACCTGGGAGTACTGGACAGCTGCCTCGACAACCTGGTTTAGGACTCTTTAGCAGTACGCATCCAGTGTCAGGGGTCGAACCCAGTGTGGTGAGAGCTGTCTGCAAGACAAAATTGTAGACAACAATTGACGTCAGTGTTTACGTCGCGAATCAGGGGTCATGGGAAAAAACAAGAGAAAAGCATAACCTTGAGGAACTCAACAACCAATCACAGTAGACTTAACATGGGCGGATACGATTCGCAGATATATCTATCACCGGACTGTCTAAGAAACGGCAACAAACAGATGACAGAATAACCTTCAGCAGGAAAACAATCAGTCAGAAGACGTTGCTTCTCTGCTATAACAATAATGAATAATAATGTACATATATATATATATATATATATCTTGATTTGTTCAATAAACGATCTGTTGCCTGGTCCCTATCTTTTGTCGTTACACAAGGACCTTCTGGTTACAAGGCGAGCTTATAGACCATTAAGCCACTGGGACCCGATCTAATGGCCCATGAATTCTAATTTCTGCCAATTTCTGACATAGCGCGACCACTTCGCAATGTCTTCTTCAATGAGTAACTGTCTTTACTTTCAACCTGCTCTACCTTAATGGTCATGGCTTCCCACTGGACCCCAGGTTAACTGCCGGAATAGAACCAGTCGCTAGTGAGCATCAGATTAATTAGTCGTATGACTACAATATATACATAACGACCACCATTTGAGGAATACACAACACGACAGCATATGATGAATACGAGCGTAAGAATTAATAAAACTCGAAACTGCTTCTGAACATAGAACTATGCACAGAAGTGCAGCATTTCAGGCTGCTGTACTCCATGTGCCATACAAAGCTGAAGGAAAGTGACCAAAAACGATTCAGAATAGTCACATGGAAAAACATGAGGGTTTAATGTATATGGGAGATCACGACGAGTGACTGCATCTACCAAATCACAGTCTCCAGAAAAAATGGTCACAAAATCAATATTACTGTCTACCTTTCAAATACTTCACATAACTTTAATTCAAGATTATTAAAAAAAAGGTGATGGAAGCCACTTTAGATCAATCAAATGCATTCCAAACTGTGTACAGAAAACAAAAGACTTCAAGACTTTGCCTACTATTGAATTGACCTACTAAAAATAGGATTGGTTATTAGTATGCACTTTTATTATATATAACTGAGTAATTGTCAAACATTTCACTTTATTATCGTGAACCATGCTAGTTTTAAAAAGAAAAAACTACGAAATGATATCATGTCGTAATATTTGTCCCATTTAAATTTATTGAAGGGATCAACTGTTTCAATATTCACATATATCTTTATGAGAATAAGAAAGATCACCATACAATCAAGGTGACTTATTGAAGGTGGGGGAGGTGGGTACTACTTCTATCAAAACACAACTAAGATATTTACATTAGAGAATCATAAACTTACACTCCAATATCCATAGTCTACTAAGTTTTCTATAGCGTTTTAATTCGTTTCTTTACGCTCCTTAAAGTCATTTAATTGAGACGGGTAATGCAAAAACACTTAACTCAAAGGTCGAGACCAACTTGAGAAGTAATACAGATTCTCTAAAACGCATATTATGCGAATATAGCTTATATTTACACGTAACAGCTACGATAACAATATCAAAGAATAATAGTAAAAAGTTACAATCAATAAGCCAAGTATAACTTTTAGCTTAGAGGAAAACCCATTTCTGGACGATTTCTTTTATCCCTTTGCGTTTCCAGTGGAATATAGGGCTACAATCTTCCTAGGCTTTAAAGTTTCCGTAGCAGTGGTGTTTATTTTTACGGGATGCAGTTGCTAGTCTCATGCCCAACCTTCCCAATTTACCAGTTTCATTACTGGCTTAGCGAGTGCGTCAGCCGGGGATCGAACCACGGACGATAATACGAAAAGTGAATAGATTAGACTAAGAGACAAAAAAGGATGTCAAAGAAAGGAAAGTTTCGTATCTTCCAACTGACAAATTAAGGATCAACCATCAAATTCCATAATAAATGAGGAAGTTGTCTTAAGCGCAAATAAATAAATAAAGTAGTCAGTCGACACCAAATATATTCCAAAATAACAATTATCACGTGACAGCTTTAGATCATGTGACTGAATCAATTTATTTTAAATAATAATGGGAAGTAATGATTTTAAACAGCGTAAACATCTATTTGATATGGAAAGATAAAACGGCTGACAATATCAATATGACCAAGTAACAATATATATCGTCAAAACAAATCTAATCCTTACAAACCAACTATTGAAAATTAATCGGATGCACGCTAGTGACTTGCTACGGGACGGAGTTACCTGGAGTTCTAGTAAGAAGTCATGACCAGTGAGGTTCATCCAGTCAAATGTGAGGATGGATGTCCTAGCGATGACAATGGTTGGTGGTCACGCTAAATAATCAATTGGTAGAAGTTAGAATTTACGGGCTGGTAATTGAATCGGGTCCCAGTGGCTCAATGGTATACGAGCTCGCTTGCTTGTAACCGGAAGGTCCTGGTTTCGAACCCCGTTAGTGGGTGCGTACTGCCGATAATTCCCAAACTAGAATGAAACAGCTGTCCAGTACTCCGTGTTTGTTTTCAATGGTTCTCTAACTGATATCAATCCGTGATCAACTCGTAAAAAAACAAATCTAATCCTTACAAACTAACTATTGAAAAATACGAAAAAACAGCCTAACAGAAAACAATATAAGCATCATACATAAATCAGCTGACTGTGTTGCGAATAAAAGTTATGAAGATGTGCGGTCATCTTGTCTCCACAAATGACGCATGACAACATTTTATGATCATGAAAGTGCTAAAATCGATAGAAAACTACTTGCATGCAAAACTGTATTAATTTTCACCCACTAACCATTTACCAGGCAGCAAGGCTAACACACAACTCAAATTCCCTAACACATTTCGATCAGTTTGTTGAAACCTTCCTTAATTTAATACAAACTCACATTGTAAGCACTGAAATACTATTGTGCTGAGAGCTCGCTGCTAGCCAAAATTGGTAGACAGTAATTTACGTCAATGTTTACGTCCCCAATATTGGTCATGAGAAAGATAAGAAAGAAGAACAATTTGTAGATAGACAATTTGAACTTCAAGAAACGGCCACAAAGAGATGAAAGATTAACGTTCAGCGAGAAACTACCAATCGGAAGACTGTGTTTGTTTGCTTACAATAATCTATAATAATGTACATGGAAATCTATAAATATCTGTTAATTTCCTAAATAAACGATCTAATGCCTGGCCCTTGTCTTCTGTCGTTACACTATCACATTCAGACTGCCACTTGATGAAGATTAAAACGTAATGACAGTGAAAATGTCATTTACTGGAATTTATAAATTTTCGATTTTCATTGGACCGAAATAGTCAGTTTCTGTCCCGAATAAGACTGTTAACAACATTTATTCAGTAGGAATACAGTAGTATATTATCCAAAAACTAACGTGGTCTTCTTTGTGAAACAGTAAACAGAGCCTCAACACCAAGACTATTGGGAATACTGCCTTATTGGCATTAAAACAAACTCGGTACATTATAGCCAATAAGAGATGCACCGTATGAAACTTCAGTTTGAACGACGGCTGGGTTACTACCCGGACGCCCAGATGGAAGCAGGTAGTGATTGTTCTGGGGAGCCACACCGCAAACCTTTGACTTGAAACCTAGTCCACAAAGCAGTGGGACAGCATCAGGAGTTAACGTTCCCACGGCTACCAGGTTCATAAACTATTCGACCCTTTCGGATTCCGGAGCCCATGAAGACCATAGGTTTGGAACAAGGGTTTTTCAGCTCCTCTAGGTAGACATATATGTCCACCATTCCAGTTGTAAACACCAGTGTTTGCATTCGCCTTTTCACTTCTGTGAGAATGCCCGGCTGCATGAAGACAGAGAAAAGGGCTAACCTGGCAGAGAACTAAGAAAGCTTGGCCACACGAGAGCATTTAGACAGGAATACAGAAGTCAACCCACCTCCGACCATACCAAGTCATTTATAGGTATTATTTGACCTACGGTTAACTGGAACGAATTTTCTCTAAAAACTTAAAATTATAATAGCACTACTTATACCGATACTGTCATCTAAAAACCGAAAGCATATGAATAAAGATAAAACAGACGAAATTCAGTAAGGACATGGTAAATTTTAAAACGTGCGCACTGCCAAGTAAAGTTCTCCACATTGGCTATCATTCTGCATAAATCCGTCGACGCAGAGTTGTTTAATGAACACAAGGGTGAAGGCGTTGGTTTTTACTATAATAGGTGTGGAACGTACGGAATATGACACGCAAACCTGTGATCCTCTTATCCAAACTCTTGTAAAGTTAAACAGCATGAATCTTTATCTTGTTTGTTCGAGATTTAAGAAACTAACTGAGTAATGGATTCAACCAAATTATGTATCACTACTTGTAGCAAGTATACTGCATTGTATCAACAATAGCAATATTAATAGTAATAACCAAAATTATTGTAAAATGTTCATGTAACTTTTATTCTGTACTGAGGTGTGGGAAAAAAATTCAAGTGGAAGCTTATGATAATACCTGGATGACCAGGACGAAGTGGGTGGATTACCATCTATTAACACTACCTCATAACTGAAAGTTAAATACTCAAGCCAATGAGCTACCACCTTCGAAAAATAATCGAAAAAATAGTGATTAGACTGACCTTTGCAAGATAAAGTTTAACAAGATTTGAGGATAATGGACCATCAGGCAGGATATAATCCGATAATTCAGGCCGTCTTAGTAGTGTGAGCAGGTCGGAATAAGAATTCGTTCGCCTCGGTGACATTTGAGGAGTTGAAGTACAGCTACATGGTGAATCACCTCTAACTACTGTTGCGACTGACGTTTTCCTTGAGCATAAATCAGGACTTTCCGAAACCCGAAATTCACTTAAACGCGAAAAGTCTGCATTACTATTGGCATTGTTCAACTTGTTAGAGATGTCCTTGAAAACTTCATTGGTGGCTGAATAGTCACCAGAACATATGCATGATGGCCGGCGGCTTCTACTGATGGTAGGTAACTGAGTAATCGGAACACCACTGGAAAGTTTCGGGAGCTGATTAATAAAACAAAATACCAAAAGATTAAACATCATTACAGATGGCTTATTATAAGCTATAAAAGCGACAATTACTTTGGTTGGATACTAGTTAGTGACTAGTGTAATGCGTCTAGTCCTTTGTTTGTTGCAGACTGAATACTATCAGTCAAGTTTGCAATGTGGCCACCATGCTAGGCGGTTCAAAATTCTTGTTGTTAGATAGTTGGAGGTAATCTGCAGGAAGCTTTGGGCAAAGGTTTCGCGCTAGTTGGCACTTGTCAGCAAGGCATTGTATCAGCAGTCTTGAAGGAACCCATGTCCCAACTGAGATTCGCACATATGCCACTCAGACGCCAAGCATGGTGGTTACATTGCAAACCTGACTGATAGCAATCAGTCTGCAACAAACAAAGGACTAGACACATCACATTGGTTACTAATTAGTATCCACTCAAAGTATGCAATACAGTACTACAGGAGGTCAATCGCCAGCCTAAATAGCTTAGTGGTAACGTCTCTAACTGCAGCACTGGGTGACAGGGGTTCAAATCTCAGGAAGGACATGGTCTCCTTCTAGACTGCAGATACGACGCCTTACTGACGAGTGCACGAAACCTAGGTCCAAGATTTCCTGCCGACTGTATCCACTTATCTAATAAGAGCAAAAATTTACAGCACAACGCAGAATGCAGATTCATATAGACTATCAGCCTTGTAGAAGTCCTTTTAATCATGTATCGCATGAATCGCAAATGCAAATACAAAATCACTCTCAGGACTTGTCCAATCTGCGCATATTTCGAAATACTTAAGGTGAAGCCAACAAGTCTAATGAGGTATCAATAACCCCCCCACCCATGTGAACAATTCAATCTCAAAAGCTACTCACGGTGGCAATCAGTAGTTAAAACCGAGACACTATTATCCACCTGGGCAGCAATGAATGTCAACATACTTAGTGAGACTCACAAGGAAAAATGTGAATTTCAAACAGTAAGCTAGTGATATCACAACAAACATTTTTAATCCTATATATATATATATATATATATATATATATATATATATATATATATAAGTAACCTCTCCTCAAGGAAAACGCTTAGTGGATTGTGGTGTTTCAAGCATGTTGAAGAACTTGACTATTACCACAAACTTTATTGACCATTATGCAATGGAAATATTAGGGGCTAACAACGATAACCTAACATGAAAAATAGCAATTTACTTTGTGAATTCACACCAATTTCTAAATATCATAGATGTAAGGAAACACCCTCTCCTTATCTGACACTATTAAAGTGGTGATCAGGTTTGTATATGGCAATGACGCACCGAGGTGTACAAAGCGGAATAAACTTTTTCCCATGTCATAACATGTCAGAAACTCTAGTTGGATGGAGGTTAGACTAGAAGTAGTTATCAATATGGATTAAGCTGCATACCGAATGGGGAAGAGCTACGGGCAAACCAGTAAGCTAGTTATGCTGCTCTTAAGCTTAGGGAGGAAGGGGTTAGGAAAGATAGTTTCCCATAAGTGCATACCTTGAATTACACTACAACAGTTGGTAGACAGTAGTTACAAACAAGATCAACCACTAAACAGGTATCTTTAGAGTCTAATCCTGATGAACCATCTTTTACAATTCTACTCAGACAGCTATTTGTTCCTGGTTGCCACAAATTTCAATAGTAAGAAAAGTTTTCTAACCTGACAATCATTGGCATAAAGACAATGGTGAAGGTAAACATGTCACCTAGCTACAAGTCTTCACACACGGACAGAAATGAATGCGTTTCGCACGCGACTCGTTTCTGGCAAAAATAAGATGATGGTTAAGGACCAACCCCGACTCCTAGTTTAGAAATATGGGGTGGAGTGATTGAATGTGTTGACCAATTCACTTATCTGAACTAATTACTGCAAATTTTAGTACAAATACAAAACGCTCATTTGGCCTAAATTACCATTTACCATATTTGGCGCCGGCATGATATCTCTCGACCCATCATAGGATACGTACTATGGGGCAGTTCGCTGCCTCCTACTTTAGGGCTATGAAAGACGATAAATGAATGTGAAAGATTTGAAAAGAATAGTGAATTCCAACCATAGGCATGTGCATTTAACGTCTTGCACTAGTCGGTGCAGTATGGTCAACACTAATGAGGCTATGGAGTGCTAGGTGAACAACGGGAGCCAATTGACTGAGAAGTTTAGTACAAGGGTTATAGCGTTGTAGGTATTTTTATCTTGAAATTAACCGAATCGTTATAAACCCATTATTTAAAACCATGTTTTCCTTACAGTGGTTCAGCTACATCCTAATGAAAACCAGTGGACCGACATGCAATTGTCCATTGGTATTTTCAGATGATTGGTGTGACCTGGATAATATATCAAATGCAGTTCAGACGACGTCACACCATCTCATCTACAACTGATACTGTATGATACTACTACTCTAATCGCATAAGGCCAAGTGATTGACCATAACTGGACTCTGTAAGCATGCTTCAATGAGCAAGTCTTATCAATACTACAAGATGTTGGCTGCTGGCGAGGATTCACAAACGATACTGTGACAAATGGGATTAAAGCTGAAAGTTGATAAAACTCCCTACCTTTTAAATATCTTATTTTGACTGAAAGTTAGTACTTGTTTACGATGGTGAGAACGATACAGTTACTATGCAATCATTGTATGCATATAACCTTTTTAAATATACGTAAATATAGAGATAAACAATTCCACAAAAATCCAAGACTTACATCTGTGTATCCAGCGAATGATAAAGCGCGTTTTCGACGGACACCTTGTGATTCCGTCATGAATCTTTGCGATAACCGCCAAATAAATCTACGTTGCTAGTCAGTTACAAAGCGTTTCTCTATAATGGAAAATTTCAGTATAAGAAAAAAAGTTAAACTTAACAATAATAGTGATTTTTATGGTAAACGAATGGGAGTTTATCCCATAAAAAGTTCAGAGTCGCATATGCTAAAACACCGCATACAGGGATTACCACCAAAAACTAACTGATAGCATAAGTCACACACTACATATAACCCTCTGAGCAAGGTTCAAATGATCAGATAACTCAATGAGTTGAAGCTTTACCCGTAGTAACTGTGTTGTCTCTGCATTTCCCATTTTTAAAGAATGGTACGAAACGAACGGAAACTAAGATATTTTCTCCTCGGATTTTTGTTTTACGCTTCATCTCTCCCTTAATTTCAAATCTTCAGCTGGTCCCCATTATGTACACAATTGTTTGGAACAAATTGACCACAACTTACACTAAGCAATTATTGCCAAGTACAAATAATCTGACAACCACGTAACATCCTATACAAAGAAACGGATGGATAGACAGTTGGAAAACCCTAAACAGAATAGCACTTCAATCTCAAACTTCAAAAAAGCACAGGAAAAAGAAAAGGAAATGGAAAACGATTAACCAATTCAAAATCAGTGAAGTTATTGGCGTATCAGCATGTGAATGAATGCATCTGTTCCTCTCTAACCAGCTTTCAGTAGTCCCCAAAAATGCCCAACTACTGATTACCAACACCACAGAGAACACAGTTATGTAAAATTAGATGGAGGCAATCGGCAGGAAGCCTTGAACCTAGGTCTCGTGCTGTCTGTCACTGTTTATCATGCGACCTTGAAGGAACCCATGTCCTTCATGTGACGCGGAATTCAACCTCAGAAGGAAGATGAGTCCCTTCAAGGCTGCAGATGAGGGCTGATGAGGGCCAACTGGCACGAAACCTAGATCAAGCAGGGCCTCCTTCCGACTGACTCCAACCACCTTATATTAGTAATTCAAAATTCACCGTCATGGTGAGCCACCTGGAATGGTGGCCACATTGCAAACCTGACTGATAGTATTCAGTCTGCAACAAACAATACACTGGTTACTAGCTAGTGTCCAATCAAAGTAAGGCTATGTAATTCTGATCACCGCTTAGACCGGTTGTCACACGTGTTAAGGTATGTCTGATGTGTTTTGTTAAAACCACGTTTTACATCCGTCAAAACAACTTTTTACCTACCATTTCTGTTTAGCAAGTGTACTGTTTTTGTGAACTCCAAGATGAATATCTCTACTTGTCTAGTACTTCACACAACGTCAAAATTATTCATCCCTTTAATAAATTTGAATAAGGCATTTAGAAGAAAAATTTCGCGAAATGATAATATCATTTCTTAGTTTCTTTATAATCGCTTTACAACTAACATGGTTCACAATAATAATAGAATAAAATGCATGACAATGGCTCAGTTATATAAAACAAAAGATATACTAATCACCAATCATATTTAAACAGGTCAAGTAGTCAGTTCATGGTAGGCGAAGGTTGAAGTCTATTGTTTATGGTACACACAGTTTAGGACGTATGTGATTAATCCAAAGTGCTTCTATCAACTTCAACAACCTTGAATTAGAGTTATGCCATGAAATAACTGTGAAACAGTCATTAAGATTAGAAGTTAATTGGTGGATGGTGACTAACAGCGGAATCGAGGATGAGCGTTTCGTCCTATTTCGGACTCGTCATCTGGATGCACTGGCATTCCGCAGTGAGTGATGGTGTTACCATCGAGGCTGGAACTCAGTGCCTATTGTTTCAAACGTCAAAGCGTTACCCACTAGACCACTTGGGCCACGAGAGCCACCTCTTGTGCAACGGGTCATATTAAAATTGAATTAAAGTCAATATTGACTTTGTGACCTGACATTAATAAGTGATTTGCAATGGATGATGTTGGATTTCTATTCAGATTAATTGCATTGGGATTTTCTATATGTTTTAATAACCATTTTGGAACATGTCCTTTTCGAAGACATTGGAACATTCTATTGGTTCTACCTATATAGGTGTCACCGCAACTGCAGGTGAACTAGTAGATTCAGTTTGAAGTACAGTTCACAGAATTCTGTCCGTTAATTATAGGTACAGGGATCGAAAATGTTCGGCATGCGAAAGAGATGCGGCGTAGAATGTGCGTTTGATGGCTGACCGAAGTCTTTGAGCTATCAACTGCATAGTTTGGTCACACTTGAATGGTAGGTTAATAAAGATAGCTTTCTTTGGTACAGAACTTGTCTTCTCTAGATGTAGTTTATCCTTACTGTGACAAGTGATAAAATTTTCTGGATAAACATTAGCTAATAAAACTGAGTGTATATGTCGAAGCTCAGTGGAAACGTGCGGCTGAAGCCCTATGTTTCTCTAGGAACTAAAGGAAACTAATAATATAATAAAAATACGGGCGTAAGGATGTCTGTAATCCATTTTGCGATTTTATTATATGGAGAATTCGACATATCTAAAATAGGTCTCAGCTGGTTCCCAGGTTTGTGAATCTTTGGAAGGCCATAAAACCCCAAGGAGTGTGATCCAATTACTTCAACTTCATCAGTATGTTCTTTGTTTTAGATAACTGAGCCATTGTCATGCATTTTATTTTATTATTATTGTGAACCATGTTAGTTGTAAAGCGATTATAGAGAAACTAAGAAATGATATTATCCTTTCGCGAAATTTGTCTTCTATATACCTTATTCAAACTTGTCAGAAGTTTGGGCTTTTCATATCAGTTTCAGATCATTGCGTTAAGGTAGGAGACTGCTGTTTAATAAACTCGCCCTTTGATAAATGGCAGCACATCACGCAGACAAGGGGTCTACAAGTTAGCAAATGTCGAACAGACACTCTATGTTAATATTTAAGCTAATTCATCCTCCCGAATGAAGAATTAGATGTAGCCCATCAAAGTCAGGAAATGTTTAGAAGGCAAACACTGCATATGAACGATACACCAAGCTTCACAATAAATAACAGAACATACAGGTTACAAGCAAAAATGTAAACTCTTCATTAAAGTTCAGGTATACGGTATTTGTCAGAAATCTTTCGGAACTGATTTTCACTTACTAGTTTATGATAAAAGTCCCCACTAGGTCAGTTCGTTGGAAATCTAATAATTTGAAAATTGTAAGGATGAACACATTTATATATCAAAGAGGTATTTCTATGCATGCATGATAACTACGTAAAGTGCATTACATCGCAAAGATCATTATTAGTATAGACCATTTTGGAAACTGCTGTTTAAAGGTCAGTGTACTACTCTAACAAAAAGAAACATATAACCAACCTAGCATTAACATGTGATTCAATCCACTACACCTTCTATTTGTCATTTAAATGAAAATAATAAATAAACGTAACCATATAATAGTTAGCATAGCCATTACTGTAACCCTGGACTAGCCCAAGATAAAACCTAAATCGCATTCTTTGCCTAACACGAATTCCAGACCCAACCCAAACAAAACTACTAGGATTACGCAAATACGAATCTATATCTAATTCCAACAGAAGAGCTCAAGATATCTAGAGCTAACTACTCTGCAGTTCTATATAGGATAGGCTGAATGAGATATGAGAAAAGAACAGAACGGTTTCAAAGGTCATTCTGAAAGTTGCAGGCTTTGGTCTACTACCGAATAAGCATGCAGAAGAAGGTTCTGATGAATTATACATACGCTGAGCCATCACACGCATAGTCATCACGCTGAATCCAAGTGGGGGTACAGGCATGGTGTATGAAGATGACAAAGAGACCGCATTAAAAGACAAGCAACAGGAAATTGTGAAGCCAGTTGAAATTGATGACAAGAAACCAAATGCAAAACATTTAACAGAAGGGGACCCGCGTTTCACTCGGCACGAAGTGCGTACTACGACACAACTATTCAAATCCCAACTGCACGATCTGAAAAGCAAGCATTGAAACCAAATACTTATTTCACTCTAATCAAAGGATGTAAATCTTACTAAAAAATTACTCACAACATCAAAAAAGATCTACATACCGGCCATTTCTGAAACGTGCGCCACGTCCGAAGGTCGTTCAATATTTCAATAATCCTTTAAGTTAGAGAAACTAACCTTGAGTCCTTAATTTCATTCTTCCGATAATCCGGATACCTGTAATTCTCTAATCTTCATCTCCACCAACTAAGGCATGAGAAAACTGTAAAAGGTATATTCCTACTAATAAGCTCATGGAGATAGCGCACCTGCCAGAGTATCCCATCACCTTATTACGATTACCTATGGAGGGAATTTAGTGGAAAATATTTTGCACCAATCAAATCATGTTTTATTTTAAATTCTGCTCAACTTTCGAGAACCTCTACTTATTTTTGTGGAGTAAAACGGAATAATGGACACTCTGCATGTCAGAAATCCACAAAGTTAACTACTCTAATGAATAAAGTGAGTAAACCTAAAAAGCAAGCAATTTCTCGCAGTTATTTAAAGACCTAATCCTCAAATTTGTGCATGGAAGTGGCACAACCATAAAGACATTTTCATCTGCCAATGAAATTATTTATAGAACCGCTATTTCAGTTTTCGAGTTTCTAATAAACTCAGCGATTTCCGACAAAACACAATTTCAGTTTAACACACTTGCCTGTACAAAGACTCGAAACCATTTTGACCTTTCCCAATTTAGTGTTCTCAGCTAACTTTCCAGATTATCGAATCTGCTCTTATGCAAATGTCGTATGTAAGCGAAATGATTTACTGGTACCTACCTGTTGATTTTTTCGCAGTGAAATCGGCCATATTAGGGACCCATTCTGTTCCCGTTGGATGCTGCACTTGTTTCGTTAGATGTGAAAAATTTGAATAAGTTCCGTTATTATACGAAGCTCTGCCACAGATAAATTTCTTGGTATTTGCAAGAAGGTTAACAAATGCAATTGTTGTTATGCAACTTAAATGTGACTGTGGCAGTTATTAATTTCCCAAAAATTTTGCTCACAGTATTCGCCACTTAATAGGGTGCTGATATTTATCCTCTAAGTCAACACCTTCAGATGAAGGTTTGCGATCAGCATCCACGCTATTTAGCACACCGTCGTGTTGCGTATGTCTGTTCATGCACAATACAAAGTTGGTTGGACACTCAACCTCCTATTTCGATTTTAATCCTGAGATATACTTCGTGTCAATGACGGTATCAAGACAATTTGCTCTAGCCAAAACACAACTCTCCGTATATATGTGTATATGAATCTCTGCAAAAAGTCTTCGAGACTTCAGAGTTTAAATCAGGATAAAGTGATATTACAACTGGTGTTAAACTCCAAAATTTGTTGCTCAAATAGCTTTGATACCAATATATCAATGTTCAAAATCTGCAAAATATGTAAGTTTAGGGGCTGAGAGTAAACGCAAATGGATAGCAGGAAGTATAAGTACACAAGATCTTATACCCACAACTTATATAGCTTTCATTGCGCGTGGGCCACACACAAAGCAAAACACCAAAGTGATCATCTAAACTACGAAGCATATTTCGGCAACAAATCGTAGCAAAAGGTTGACTGTCTACCTAGCTAGGAATCGTGCACGAACGAACGACCGTAACATGACAGCTTGGCAAATGGCGCGGATGCTTAACAGCAAACCATCAGCTAAACAAGTCAACTTAATCAGTGAGGGTCAGCATCCAATTTTCAGTGTTTAATTCTGTGGATAATAACTTCGGGTAATTACCGACAGCTACATAATTATATATGTAGATTGAATTTGCAAGTAAAGAAGTGTGGAACAGTAATATTAACTGATGATGTTTCGAGCATAAACTATTGCTCATAATCATATCATATCAACTTGATATGATTATGAGCAATAGTTTATGCTCGAAACATCATCAGTTAATATTACTGTATAACACCACTGTGTGTGATTTATCAAAATAAAATCTTATCCATAATGGAGTTATGCTCTACCACAGTGCCCAAGTTTTATACTTATATCAAAGAAGTCTGGAAATAGCTGCATTTATTTTAGAGACGTTATCAATGATATAAAAATAATAAACAGCAATACTTAACGTTCATAAGGGAAACATTTCTTGAACTATATTATTATTATATTAGTACAAGTTTAAAGTCTATCAAATCTTATTTCAAATTTGCGGACTACAGGTTTTTTAACCTCTTCATGAGTTGCTTCAGAGAATTAAGTAGTCCATAAAAATGATGATAGGCTTGAGTTAGCTAAGCAGACGTAACTGCCTTAAGCTTTAGGCTACGACATATATTTCGTATTTTTGGCGATCAAACTGTTGCTTGGGTTTGCCTTCTAAATGTTTCATGTTCATCTAGAATAAGTACACTGGTGTTTAGACGACATAAAGTTGTATTTGGCGTACTTGTCAGTAACTTTCATTACTGCAGAATGTGTATATCACTCAATCTGAACACACTGTGGTTACAATGATCATGAAGGAGTTTTCAACTATTCTTTAGTGTTTTCATTGAACACTAGTAACTAGTGTGATGTGGTGGCCACATTGCAAATCGGACTGGTAGGGTTCAGTCTGCACCAAACAAAGAACTAGACACATCACACTGGTTACTAACTAGTGTGCAATCAAAGTATCCAATACAGTACTACAAGAGGTCATTCGCCAGCCTGAATAGCTCAGTGGAAACTGGGTGACACGGTTTTGAACCTCAGAAGGAACATGTTTTTCTTAAGTGGTTGCATATTCACCTTGCTGACGAGTGCCAACTATCACGAAACCTAGGTCTAATGCTTCCTGCCGATTGCCTCCAACTTCCTAACATCAACAATTCAAAGTACCCTTTAATGCATCACAGAAAATTATTACAACGTGGGTAACCAGACATGTACTGTATGTGCTGATATACTCATCCTTAAGTCTTCAGTAATATATGCCCTTGGATATGTAAACACATGTCCGCTGAATTCAATATCTTTTACTCCAATGCATGGTAGCAGCTCTCAGTAAGTAGACGCTACAATTATCCCAACGCCTATAGATACTCAAGCATACTAGTCACCATACTGAAATGGAAATGTATAATCAACAAATCAGTAGTTGTTTCTTTGTTTTGGAAATCACAGTAAACTTTGTGGTGGAGTACTAGTGACAGGCCACAAAACCATTAGAATATATATATATATATATGAGTGAATTATGCATGACCTCCCTCGTTCTGTGGAACTTTGACTCCTGCTCCATTTATCCAACGAGGACTAAACAAAAGATGGATCACACTTTGTTTCAATATGCCTAACATTCACCACCCACACATCATTCCTCAAATAGTAAGTCCACAGTTGACAACCTATTCAAAGGCTTTTTAATGTCAATTTGTAAATACCCAGCGACATTTCATCCACGTATTTTAAAGCAACATATAACGTAAACTGCAGGTTAGCTTGTACGTTAACCTATCCATTTTAAATGAAGATTGCAAGAATACAATTCTCATTTGTTACCATAACATGTGTAACGTGTGCAGTCCGTGACAATAAGATTGTATAATTTTTGTCCGATGATACAAATGGAAACATTATACATAACTCTTGTTCGAAACGATTCACTGTAAAAATATACATAACTTTGGGATCCAATAAAAATAAAGAGTGCTGCTGGTCACTTTCTCTTCCTACTGGCTCAGACTGTCCACTTGCTTCACTAGTAAACGTGTTGTACCCTCCGAGATTCACAGGAACCTCTCATCCTTGTTCGAGTACTATTCCACAAAAGCTAAACCACCTCTACCAGTAGATACGATCAAAACAGTGAACGTTTCTGCGGATTATCTTAGTAACTTGCAGCAGCGGATAGTTACTGTATCATTAAGTTATCAATAATTTTTATAACTCGTCATCTGTGTTTCTATAATACACAGACTCCTTATTCCTACATGCATCTGCGCCTCCGAGAATATCCAGAGGACCTTAGCCAGGCAAATTTCACTTTCCTAAGCGGCTAGCTCAAACCAGCTGTCAAGCACTCCGTGGACTTATTACAGATTTTGGTTTGACCACCCTTGACTCCTTCCCAACCTAGTAGTATGTCAACTAACATTTCTTGTCGAGCGAATCAATGGTCTGGAATGCGTACCATATTCTAACAATCTCAAGCGACACAACTTCAAGACCGGATCGACTGAGCTGTCCTCCTTACCTAACACTCTCGGCCTAACTACAATATTACTCACCATATTGAGGGACTTCTAAATCTAATCTAACATTTAGGACTAGTGAAAAATCACTTCCAAATGTTTTAAAGGTTTATGTCTGTCTGTCTGTTGTAATGTCATTAAGGCAGTTTTAAAATATTTTATTTGAGAATCCGGATGGTTACTGGCTTTGCACTAACTGTGAGCATCTCCAGGCATTACTGAGTGAGCCAGACAACCCATTTTCTTAGTGTCGGAATAGCCAACATTCATCTTAGGAGATTAAAGTACAATATCTAATAGACTTTCAATAATTCTGAAAATTTGTATGCTTACTATCAACCGCATTCGCCTTCTACCCTAATTCCATTCACATTGTACAGGGAAGGTAACCACAGAAGTATCCGACTTCAGTTCAGTTTATTTGACCGAAACAAGCAGTGGTAAAATCGGAATATCCGATTCGGTCAACTCATTATTGCCACTACCATAGATGTAAAACTTAATAACTACGTATGAAAAAGCTCAGTGAACCACATATAATTTCCAGTAACAATCGAACAATTGCGCAGGCACTTGCTGAAAAGTGTTGGCTGGTCCACAAACCTTCTGTAAGTAATACAGGTGACTTCCGTACGAGCGAGTCATCGCAGTTACACTTGGATTACCAAGGCATTTTTAAACTTAGACAAACAACCTCAAATGGCATATGACTAACTAAGTGTGTTTATAAGTGAAACACCAATGAGCTAAATATCTCGTTTCCGTGATCACACCAACGGCTGTGATACATTCTACCTCTACTGAAAAGCTTTCCTTAGGCTTTTATCAGAAGGAATGATATCGTTGCATACTTCAAACCAAATGTAAATGCCCGTACAAAGTCTCAGAAGAAG